GAGATGCTGTGGATGGACAGCATCCACCAACCAGAGCTATATCATCAGTAGGTGAGATTGCAGGTACTGAATGATGAAGTGAATTGATGGTGGTAAGGTTATATGACTCCCTGAGCTAGGAAGCATACCCAAAAAGAAGCTGCAGGTCAAACAGAACAAATGGGATCCTTCCTAGAGCACCTTACCATTTGGTCATCTTATATCAGGGACCTTCAACTCATCAGACCATAAGGGTCCCTGAGAGCACCATGTTTCTTTCGTAGTATTTAAGGGTACATCATTGGAAGGTCTGGACCACTTCCTTCATCATTTAAGACAGGTGAGTTTTTCTGAAAAAAAAAGAGATTCAGGAACAGACAGTACTGTGCCTGATGCTGAATATGTATTGTTCAGTGCTTGACTCGATCAAGCATTTGGATAAGAAAGAAAAAGCTGAGAGTACATGCCTGGTTATTCACCGTGAGCCGAATGAAGAAGTACCATATTAAGTCAGCCAAGTTGCCAATGATTACCTCCTGCTTTATATAATAGGAATTATACCTGTTAACCGGGAAGAAAGATGATCATTACGTTGAAAAACCAATGATTGAAAGGAAGTAGCATTCCCTGCTTTCTGAGCTATTGGGTGGTATTTTATAGTACATTGTATGCAATAAATTGTGTGATCATCAAGGGCTAGGATGACGACTTTATCAAGCACCTGATGACTGAAAGGAAGAGAGGATCCTTGCTTTCTCTCCTATCTAGATCTTTTTGTTATTCTACATCTGAAAATAAAACCTAGAACTTACACACAGAGTGAGGGACTTGTGTAATAACATCACAAATAGCCAATCTTGACTTACAAGATTTTTTTGCCGAAAAGTTTTAGTTCAGTTTAATTCAATTAGTTATTCTATGATGATTGAAAAGAAACAACAATTGAACTACAAAATAAATGATTCATAAACAGTTATGTAATCAAACCTCTGATAAATTATCTCGTCTAAAATTACTGTTACAACAGCAGAAGTCACGTGACGCTGGTAACCCGTGATGACTTTCTAGAAGGATTGGGGAACATCACGAATAAACCAGTATTTGCTAGACGCCCTCTATTCCTGTATAAAAGCGCGCCAGATAAAGCGAGACAATTAATCGGAATTGGAATCGCAGATATAGAGATTGAAGATATAGACACGGATAGTTGAATCAAGCAGTTGGTAGGCACTGTAAGTAAAGTGAGTGAATCGTTGTGAATTATAGCGTTTGTTTAAGTTAACGTGACTGTGGAAATTAAGTGTATTGCAAAGTTGAGTTGAGAAAGAATAAACTAGTATTATTTAAGAAAGGACTTGTATCGTTGAAGTTTCTCGGAAAGAATTTCTACGGAAAATTTACAAACGAACGACCTAACAAATTGGTGTCAGAGAGTGGGAAAGAAAAGAAAAGAAAGAAGAAGAAGATGGCAACCAGAGGTGACAAATCAAACTACAGCTTAGCAGATATGATGGCAGCAATACAAGAACAGCAAAATAAACAAGAAGAGAGATTAAAGCAGTTGCTGGAGGAAAATGAAAAGAAACAAGAAGAACGAGAAAATAAACAAGAAGAGAAATTACAGCAGTGGTTGGAGGAAAATGAAAAGAAACAAG